ATAAGTTATTGTATCTTTTGACACCTTAATATTTTTAAAAAATACAATTGTACATATATAAAATATTTATAAAAAAAGTACTTAATGAGATATTACACTTGGTGTAATAGGTTTTTAAATAGTAAATTAATGAACTTAATCTTTTGAATTATAAAACAGCAACACTCTCATCTGCATATAAATTCTAACTGACCTTCAGGAATCACATGCATCTACATATAATGTCGTAAACAGAGGTTTTTGCTTATTTAAAATGATTAAAGCGCCATCCGTTGCATAAAAGTTAAAGCAAAAACAGATTCACGGAGGATATAATCAATTTTTGTAAATTATTTTTTTAAATTTTTAATAATATTTTATATTTGATTCGATTGCTTTGGATGTGTTTAATTTACTTAGTGAACTGATATTTTAGTATGCTTTTACTACCTCATATATTTGAAAACATATAGGTTAACCTAGAAAGAGTAACAGTCACGGAGGATAGGTTTTAGACTTTTAAAACATTGTTAAAAATCTGGAACCTGAACTGTAATATCTACATACTTTATTTTATCACCAAAAACTACCTTCTAAAATAGATTTACTTAAATATTTTTTGAAATCATTTAATTCACCTCATTATCAAAAGCAATGAACTTAAAACATTGAAATTAAATAAATTGTTTAAAGAAAGTGTTACCATGACAACAAATCTCATTTATTGTGGTTTACTCTGAATGAACTGACCGATACAAAACGTGATCTACACTATAAACCATTAACACTATTTTATTTTCTTCTTTTTCCATTTTCTACATTCTAGACTTTTCACTTGGCATTTCTCATAAACTCCATTTAAGTATACAGCACATTAATTTTCAGTGTACATTTAAAAATACACTTACCGGAATTCTCTAATAACGCTGGACACCACGATCACCAAAAACATGTCGTAGTTCACAAACACGAACACAAACATCACCACAAGCACGATCACGGTCACAAACACGGTCACAAGCACGACGCCGACCATCACCACAAACACAAAGCCGATCACCATCACAAACACCACGCCGATCACCAACACAAGCACCAAGCCGATCACCAACACAATCACCAAGCCGATCACCAACACAAGCACGAGGGTAAGCACGAACACAAGCACGAATCGAAGCACGGTCACAAACACAATCACCATCACAAAGTGGACGCGCATCACCATCACAAACACGATCACCACCAGAAGCATCAGCACAAACACAAGCACGAGCACCACAAGAAACACGGTCACGATTCTGTAATCTCAGCTCCATACATTGTGGATGGTGATTCTGGATCCATTGGTGAATATGGTGAAGATGAAGGTTATTCTCAACAATACTCCAATCAGTATAAGAATTATGATGACGATTACCAAAACCAGAACTATGATCATGATAATTTAGAGAATTATGATGACAATCCTCCAGAGTATTTCAGTCAAGCTAATGCTGGAAAAGCTAAGCCACACTTTGCAAATGATAGGGTTTCTAAACCTGGTTTAATTTTTAGACGTAACAACCTGAAACCTATTATCGCCTTTTAAGAAAAAAATTATAACAAAGGACCAGATATACCTTTAGAAATATCATATCACATTTAATACAAACCATATACAATATTACACAATATTTGGTCCTTGGTAGTTATTGTTACTTTGTTTTATTGTTTTTTTTGTTTTATTTTAAAAATATATTTTTTCATTTATTTTTATATAAAATCCTTTTATCAACCTTGTTGTTTTCTTCGTTCTCCCATTTAACCAATAAAAAATTATATAAATATATATTTTCATTTTAGTCATACTCCAAATTTTGCATTATTTTTGGTCATATTCAGTAACAATTACAAGGCCAACTATAAATACAAACACAAACACAAAGCCGATCACTATAAAAAACATCTCGATGAACACAAAAACACAATCACAAAGGATTTCGTATCTTTTTTTTAAAACATCCCTTTGTATATGGGGCAAAATTTGCCAAGTGTACCAGGTGAAAAAATTTTTGTCACCGATTTTGTTTAAACTTTACTTATAATTGTTGTTCTTATAACAAAGAATCATAGCATAAAATTTTTTTGCTCTAGGATTGTTCATTCAAGAGTTATGGATTATTGAAATTTATCGATTTTTTACTTTTTGGTGAAATCGCTTTTTATTTAAAAATACATAACTTCTGTTCATCTCTTTATTAAATATTTCAATTTAACCACCTTAAATGATTTTTTCCGTACTTTTCAATGGGCTATACCGTTTATGCAAACAAAAAAAATTTGCAATTTTTTTTGAAATTTTGCAAAAATTTGCATTTTTTAAAACAATGTGTATTTTTTTATTTTTTTTTAAATAGCATAAAATAGAAGTTTATTATGTTACCTTTGAATAAAAAAAAAATTAGAGTGGGCCCGACATGTAGAAGGGAAGTTTTTCATATTTGAATGCGTGCGGGTCTAGCCATCGAATAGCTACTACACTGCCGTATGCGTTTATACCTAGTAGATGCGAGTAAACATAATTTTACATTTTAAATTATCATTTTGTGTCACCTGGCAAATTTTGCCCCATATTTGAAATAAGTTATTGTATCTTTTGACACCTTAATATTTTAAAAATATACAATTGTACATACATAAAATATTTATAAAAAAATCTACTTACTGAGATATTAGACTTCACGGTGGATAGGTTTTTAAATAGCAAATTATAAAACAGCAACACTCTCATCTGCATATAAATTCTTACTGACCTTCAGAAATCATATGCATCTACAATGTCGTAAACAGAGGTTTTTGCTATGCTTTTTGCATAAAATTTAAAGCAAAAACAGATTCACGGAGGATAGAATCAATTTTTGTAACACCTACATAAATGGTTATAAAAATTATTTCTTTTAATTTTTAATAATATTTTATATTTGATTTGATTGCTTTGGATGTGTTTAATTTACTTAGTGAACTGATATTTTTAGTATGCTTTTACTACCTCAGATATTTGAAAACATATAGGTTAAACTAGAAAAAATACCAGTCACGGAGGATAGGTTTTAGACTTTTAAAACATTGTAAAAATAATAAATTGCGGTTAAAAATCTGGAAGCTGAGCTGTAATATCTACTTAATTATGAAAGATCAAAACACAATAAAAGTGTAGGTCAAACTCATTTAGTTTTATTTACATTACATAATATTTTTGGTTTTACCATTATCAAATAAAAACCATAATTACAATACCTGGTGTTTTATTCTAAAGAATATTTTCTCTGATATTCCAGGACACATATAAAGATCGTAGTACCAACTATAATCCACAAACACGAGCACACCAAAGTAATCTACAAAAAGGCTCATGGATATGGTCACGACGACCACGGGAAAAAGCACGTTGTTGTCCACAAGCACGAGCACAAGCACAGTCATAAGCATGGCCACGGTCATAAGCACGGTCATAAGCACGGTCATAAGCACGACCACAAGCATGGCCACAAGCACGAGCATAAGCACGGCCATAAGCATGACCATAAGCATGACCATAAGCACGGTCACAAGCATAAGCACAATCATAAGCATAAGCATGTAAAAGGACATCCGTCCCATCATTCTTATTATAACGATTATGATAGAAGGGGGACCAGTATCACTGGACAGCATTACGAGGAAGGGAATTATGATGATAACCCCAGAGGTTTGCTTGTTAAAAGTACTTATAAGGTCAAAGAGCGTGATCCTTATGATCATAAGGTGGAGAATTACGAGTACAGCTATCCGCCTTATAATCCACTGCAACATTTGATTTATCAACATTTGAAGGAAGGAAAGACTAAGGCTAAGGAGAGTGACGATATTCAGGATTATTACAACCAAGCTGAAGATGACGATGTTATTAATGAAGCTTTAAATCATGGGGATAATAGTGATTATCAAAGAGGTAGTTTAAGATTGGTGGATTATGATCATGAAGATGATGACGATGACGAGGAGGATATTTGAATGGATATAAGGTTTTAACCAAAGAAAAGAGTTTTAAAATATACAATAATGACCATTTTTTGAAACGATTGTTGTTATATATAGTACTATGCTCCACACCACTTGACCTCGTACGGAACGCAGTCTTTTGAAAATTTTGTTAACTGTAAACTTTTTTTTATTTATATATATATATACATATTTGAATCAACCTGTATATACATTATGTATTATGTATATATATATATATATATATATATATATATATATATATATATATATGTATATAAATAAAAAGAAGTTTACAGTCTCAGGTTAACAGAATTAAAGTGATTTTACATAAAAAATAATATAAATATGGCATATGATACTATTTTTGTATTTTATTTGAAAATATTTGAAATTTTTCATTAGTGTTTGACCTTCAGATGTTTTTTGTAGAGCGTGAAATTGTCTATAAAACCTCTTGCTTGGGTGTTGCGAAAACAAACCATTCCAAAGTTATAAGAATTCAAAATTAAAAAAATAAAAATTCCCGTGTTATTGAAATGGAAAAACTACAAATGAATTGAGGCAAACCTTAATATTAATATTAAGGGCTCAAATATGCGCCAAAATTTTTGTTTTTTTATGTACTATTAATTTTTCAACACCATTAAAAAAAATAATTTTTTTTAAACACCCCCCTAGTATTTATATTCTTAAATTCTTAAACCATCCATTGTTATTGTAATGTTATAAAGATTTATACATTTTTAACGCCTAAACATAATATTATTTCTTTCGTTGACTATACTTTGACAGATACATAACCTGAAAAGCCTTAAATGCCAAATTTTCAAAAGGCTGCGTTCCGTACGTGGTCACGTGGTGGGACTTTGAGGTGTGGAGCATAGTATATACAAATCTTTAAATTGTTATGAAATATGTTATACTTATTGTTAATTATATTTAATAAATTAAACAAAGTGGTATCTTTTTTAATTGCTAAAAAAATAAAAACAAAAAGTTAAGGATTTTAAAATATTTTATTAAAAAAATAGTCAACAAAAACAATAATACTTTACAGGCTTACACACTAGGTAAAAAACAGATATAAATAGACTAGGAGACTTAGAAAGAAATGCAGGTATTAAAAAACAACAACAAAATATCACATAACCTCAATCGTAACCTTTGTGGCCGGCGTCGTCGCCGCCCCCGTAAGCCTCGTAACCGTGCCCGCCCCCATCTCCTCCCGAACTGTATCCACCCCCCAAATCGTGTCCACCTTCGCTGGAAATGGCGTTGTAGCCGCCGCCAACATCGCCGCCCCCGTAACCGCCCTCGAAACCGCCGACGTGGCTCTCCACGGCGCCGCCGAAATCGTGGCCGCCTTCGCTGGCGAGGGCGGCGCCGTGACCGCCCCCGTAACCGCCTCCCATGTCGTGGTGTTCTACGGATTCGTGGTGACCGCCGTCTGAACCGCCAAGAGAGAGACCGTGACCGCCGCCGCCGCCGTTACTGTGTAAAGAGAGCCCGTGACCGCCGCCGGAGCCGCCAACGGAGATTCCGTGGTCGCCGCCCCCGATCGAGAGACCGTGACCGCCTCCAATGCCTCCTAAGGATAAAATAAGGTAATTAGAATACTTCATTTTTTAGAATAAAACTCCATGGTTAAATGATAATGATAAAAACAAATAAAGATTAGTTCAAAACAGCAACACAAATAATATATTCAACTTTAAAATATTATGAACAATATTTGTTGACATATAAAATTGATTTTTATCAGGTGATAGCCGAATGGGTTATGAAAACAGCTTGACAAGCTTGACAAGTGACAGACCTGAGTTCAATCCCCAGCTGGGTCAAAACTTTTTTTAAATTTAAATCTACTAATTTGACTATTTCATTCAGTAGAATTTGACTAATTATTAGTGACTGCTTTTTCGCTATGACAATTAGTCAAATATGACTTATAATTAGTTATTTTTGACTAATTAATTTTAAGAGAATGGTTATTAAAAAATAAAATTTAAAACCTAAATACAATTGGTCAATAATTTAAACTGTATTGCTGCTAACACTGGTTACTAAAGTGATTGATTATGGTCTAGTTACCTTAAAATGATTTAAACCAATCAGGTTAGGTTATTTATGGGCTATGCCGTAAAAATTCATTATTTACTACTTTGGACCAATAAAAAAAATTTCATATCTGTCAGATATCTAACCTTACTTTCTTCTGTTATAATCGTACGTATGTGTAGGTATGTATACAAATAGCAAAAAGTATTATAGTTATTTAGGAAAAAAAATATTTTTTTAAATAAGGATTTTTCATAAATGATAAATAAATGATAATTGTATTTTGAAAATAAAAATAAACAATTTTTTTTTAAACAAATAATAGTTAAAAAAATTATGTATAAAAATATTATTTATAGTTATTTAGTAAAAAGGGCATTTTTTGGGAAAAAAAACATATTTCTCATAAAAAATAAACAATTACTGAAATTAAAGAAGGCGACGTTTTTTAGGTTTGAGTTATTTTTTTTTAATTAAAAATCAACATTTAAAAATATATTCAAAATATTTTTAGTTAAGGAAAAAGGATTTTTTTTAAATTTATGTATATATATGTATAGCAAAAAGTGTTAATGTTATTTATTTAACATATACATATAATGTTAAATAAATGATAGTTGTAAGGTATTTTGAAAATTGAAAAAAGGAACCTAATTTTTCTTTAACAAAAACCAATAGTTACAAGAATTATGTATAAAAAATTTTGTTTAATTATTTAGGAAAAAGGGCATTTTTATAAAAATAAGGTATTTTCAATTTAATTTTCAAATAAAAATTTATCTATGTAGGTAATTATTAAAATAAAAAGTAAGTATATAAATTAAAAAGGATAACGTTTTTTCTTTTTTTTTTAATTTTAAAAATCAACATTTAAAAATGAATTAAAAATATTTTTTGCTATTTAGAAAAAAGGGCATTTTTTGTAAAAAAAAATATTTCCCATAAAAAATAAACAATTAATGAAATTAAAGAAGGCAAAGTTTTTTTAAGTTTGAGTTATTTTTTTAAATAAAAAATCAACATTTTAAAATATATTAAAAATATTTATAGTTAAGGAAAAAGGAATTAACAAAAAATACTACTCTACTCTACTACGCAGTTTTTGAGATATAGTACATTTCATATTAAATGGAAAATTGACTATATCTCAAATACTGTTCTACTTTTTTAACTTTTGACGACATTTTTGAATTCAGGGGACAATTTTACAAAACAATTTTGGGATACCATGGTAAAAGTAAAAAAGCAGCCACTAATAACTATTAAATTAGTAGTTTTTGACTAATTCATTTTTAGAGAGTATACTTACCTATAAAAGGTTTGTTTATAAAAATAATGTTTTTTTTTCAATTTTAAGAATTGTATACTACCAATAATGGAAGAGAAATTTTAACTAAGAAAATTAAAGAACAAAGAAAATTTCTTTAACTAAAATATTTCTACTTTTATAATTATAATTGTGAGTATGTATATGAATAGAAATAGCAAAAAGTGTTAATGTTATTTAGGAAAAATGACTTAAAAAAAGTACATATCATATGTATACATATTACATATTATATATCGACCATTCCAAGCCCATGGACAGGACACATCAAAAACATGTCTAAATATATTCTCATTACTTCCTTAAGTTTACTTATTTTTTCTACGAGTATTTATGAGAAGTATTAGCCAAATTTGGCTAATACTTCTCATAAATACTCGTAGAAAAAATAAGTAAACTTAAGGAAGTAATAAGAATATATTTAGACATGTTTTTGATGTGTCCTGTCCATGGGCTTGGAATGGCCCATATATCACTTATCTAACATATACATATTATGTTAAATAAATTATAGTTGTAAGGTATTTTGAAAATTTAAAAAAGGAAGCTTTAACATACACCAATAGTTACAAAAATTATGTATAAAAAATATTGTTCATAATTATTTAGGAAAAGGTGCATTTTTATAAAAATAAGGTATTTTCATTTTAATTTTCAAATAAAAATTTATCTATGTATCTAGGTAATTATTAAAATAAAAAGTAAGTACCTATATAAATTAAAAAGGATAACGTTTTTTCTTTTTTTTAAATTTTAAAACAGAGAAAAAGGCATTTTTTGTAAAAAAAAACAATACTCACCTATAATAGGTTTGTTTATGAAAATAATGTTTTTTTTTTTAATTTTAAGAATTGTATACTAGAAATTCCACCAATAATAGAAAAATTTAAACTAAGAAAATTAAAAAAAAAAAATTTTTTTTTTTTAGATATTTACCTTCGTGTCCGCCGCCAAATCCATGCCCGCCCCCAATCTCGGCGTGCGATTCCACAGCCGGAGCGGCATGACCGCCCCCGAAACCTCCGCCGAATCCAGACTCCCAACCGTGACCGCCGCCGCCGTGACCGCCCCCACCACCGCCTCCGTGACCGCCGTGCGAGACCACCTCGCCGTCGTCTATGCCGCCGCTGTAGCCGATCACCTTGTAGAACTCGCCGTCATGGTGACCGCCCCCACCGTGACCGCCGACGTGCTTGTACACGGTGTGCGTGTGGTGGACGTGTTTCACTTTGTACGGTATGTGGATTATCACTTTTTTATGGTGTCTGAAAAATAGTAAATCCCAATGTCAGAAAAAAAATTATTGTAAAATTAAATATGAATAATAAAACAAAAACTGAAGTTAGGCAACCAAGAAAACGCACGATTCTTTTTCTACGATTTAAATTATCTTCAAGTTTTAATTTGCTTTAAGCTTTCAGTGAAATTAAATGTCAAACACAGCTTAAAAATTCCAAACTACCTATTTTTTAAATAAAAACCCAAACAAATTGAACTTAGATATTAAACAATTAATTGAATTCAATGTAATAGCAAAAATCCATTTCTACTTAAATCATGTTGCTAGGTATTGTCAAACTATTACTGCTTCTAAAAGCAATAATAATTATTGTACATTTAATGTAACCTTTAGCTAATAAATAAATGAGATTCTAAAAAAGTAAGGTTAGGCCGCTTTGATGTTGAATTAAATTGACCTATATAAAGTGCTTTGAAGATAAAATGTTGTATGCCATTCGGCCAAGAAGTGCCTTTTTGTGCTTCGCTCTAACCTTGAGCTTAGCACAAAAAGCCTTACTTCTTAACCTAATGATATAAATAACTACTTTGTGTTCTCTACCCACTCGTTTTTATTAAAAACTCGCTTACAAACTTTGCTCGTGCCTAATAAAACTCGTAACTAAAATGGCGTTTGTAAAGCTTCATACATAATAACCTATTAAAAGTAGAAAAAAAACATTGATTTTAAGAAGGGAAAGTGGTTTAAAAATATTTAAAAAAAAATATTAAAAAATTTCTTTCTGTTTTTCTAATAATAATTAGCAATTAAGATCACTTACATTAAATGAATACCTACATAGATAGGCACAATAAAAAACATTGACAAATAGTCTAGAAAGCGAAGCAGTTAACTATAATAACAATAATAAAGTCATTATCAAAATGTTGTTGGATTTTAATAATAGAAAAAATAAACATTCAATTTATTAAAAAATATAATCTCTTAAAATTTTAAAAACATGTCATTTTATGGTGTATGATCCAATTTTATCTTAAAAAAACTAATTTTAAAACGATAACTTTTACTTTGTAGAAACATTAATTAAATGTTTTTTTTCAACAAAATTAAAGAAAGTTATGTTACATTTCCGAGGCAAAATGAATGCATCAATAAGTTAATTAATTAATCCCCAATAAAATTTTGCACGTTCACTGGACTTGAATATCTATAATTATTATAATACATGTATTAAAGAAAGTACTACTTTGATTTGTAACGTAATACGAAGAATTATATTTATAAATAGTATTTATTAGATTATGCAGTCGGTTTTTTTGTAGTAAATATGTGGATTGAAAGTTATTAAGTAATAATAATATATTAGTATTTTTTATTTTAACTAAGAAAGTTAAGAGATTGATGATCTGACTTTTAGATTTAAGAAATTATTTAATTTATGTATACTTAATAATTGATGATACTTAAAAAATATCAATATGTTTTAAATTCCAAACATTTTAAATTTTATTTACATACAAAGGACCAAATATTGTTTTTTGTGGAATTATGGCATTTTAGTCAGGGGATGAAGTTAGCTTTATTATAAATTGGGAAAAAGTTAGGTTAAATTCGTTGACAGTTTTAACAAATACAGTTAAATAGTTTTAAATTCTTCTTTGTGCTCGTCGTAGATAATAGTATAGTTTAAAGTAAAGCCAACCTATAAAATCAAAATTTTGGGTGGGATAAAGTATCTCATTACCGCACCGAAAGCGGTGTTATAATGAATTCATTATGAACGCAAAATAGATAAAGTATATATAGTAAGCAACTCGTTTTATAAACAAGTTTTATTAGATATAAGCAAAGCTTGCAAGCGAGTGTTTAATAAAAACGAGTTTCTGGAGAATACTTTAATATTATTCCAAATTTTAAAAAAATTTTACAGGTTTAGAAAAACTATAAAAAACTTAAAACCTTATTAAACTTAAAATTGTATATTTTTAATAATTTAAGTCCTAATAGAAACACATTGTATTTTAATTTAAACAATTTCTTTAATTTTATTACAAACTTGACAGTTTTAAAAGTCTAAAACCTATCCTCCGTGACTGTTACTCTTTCTAGGTTAACCTATATGTTTTCAAATATTTGAGGTAGTAAAAATATCAGTTCACTAAGTAAATTAAACACATCCAAAGCAATTGAATCAAATATAAAATATTATTAATAATTTTTATAACCATTTATGTAGGTGCTACAAATATTGATTCTATCCTCCGTGAATCTGTTTTTGCTTTAAATTTTATGCAACGGATGGCGCTTTAATCATTTTAAATATCATTTAAACCATTTTCTTGTTATATTAATATCAATAATAATAATAAAAATTATAATCCTTACCCCCCTCCATGTCCTCCAGCATTACAAAATCCTAAGATTGCAAGGGCACCAAGGGTAACAAACTGAAATAAAAAAAATTAAAATGACTGAGAATATTGTGGTAATTTTTTCTTTTTTTATTTAGTCGTTGTTGTCAAAATTTATCACTTCACTGAAAAACTGTTTTTAGGTAGGTACTCACCAAAAGTCGAGAGGCCATGTTGCTTGGTAAATTGCCACGAAGATTTTGGCAAGGTCGAAATACACTGCACTAAATCCAAAGAAGGTCTGATGGTAGAACGGACGCGCCAGTCGCTATTTATATGCAACAAATTCGTTGTTGTTTAAAAATGAAAGGAAACGGCAAGAAGGCAAGAAAGTAGATGAAATATGCAAGCATTGGAGCACATTTACCCCGGCAGGACTAGCCCGGCTACACCCAATCTAGTTTTTTTTCGTTACTTCGTTAGATTTCGATTCATTAAGTTTTTTGGCAACAAAACATAGGTACCTATCAATTTGTCTAATTGCTATAAACAGAAAATTTACAAAGAAATTTATGAACGTACAGTATCTATTTTTTTAATAGTTTTGCTCTTTTTGAATTATCTATATCTATATCTATAGATAAAAATCAAAAATGTTTTTGTTTTTGCAATATTTTTGACTACATACATACCTATTTACAAACCTATACTTCAGAGCCAACTTTTTTTTGCAAAAGTGACATTTTACTTGTTTATTTATATCAGCTGATTTAAGTTTGAACCAATTTGGCAACATAGCAAATTTTAAATGACAGTAAAGATTTGTAGGTTATCTTGCATAATTAAAACATTAAAAAGCAGAAAATAAGTTGAACATGGTCTAACATTTAAAATTCTTCAAAAGTATTTAAATATAAGACAAATATTTTGTAAACACAATGTTGGTTTTATTCTATAGGTAATCCTTATTATTTTTGAATAGTATTTTTTTAATTAAAATGTAAACATTTATGGAAGTAACGTATGTTTTTAATAACAAAAAAATAATCAATAAATATTTTCACCCAAGTTCAATGTTAGGGGTAATTATTTTACAATGAAACCAAAGAAAGTTATAAATCAATTGATTTCAAGCATTCAGCTTTTCAATCAGACAAAAAACAGGAAATTTATTTGATATAATTAACAAGGTAGTAATTTTATCTTAAAAAAATGTTATTTTTTAATTATCTTTGTTATGGCCCATAAGTATGGGCCATAACTTATGGGTATGTTTACCTTCTGAATTTATTTTTTATATATATTTTTACAAACAAAAATACTGTCTATTTTAATCCATATTTTTTAAATCAGTCGTTAACGACTAATATACCTAAATTATATCAACCGATTTACATTTAAGATTATTTTATTGGCCAAAAAACCAATCTAGTAAACCATGACTTATATTGGCGAAATTATTTTCTCGATTTTTATGTAAGAATGTCATATTCTCGCACGCAAAATCGTTGAAGAATGAAGCTCATTCTTAAACGATTTTTGGTAACATTTAGTTTTTAAGTATTGGTACCCCCAAAATGTCAAACTGATTAATAACCTCAAATTCATTACTTTTATTGAAAATGAAGCCTTTATTATTGTTTTGTAATATAAAGTTTGCTCCAACAATGCATTTTAATGCAAAATTTTAAGTTTAATGTGTAAAAGTGCAGTTCAGGTTGTACTTGTGCAGGATAACAAATATTGTCATTTTGTGTTGCCAACTGACATTTTGCGAGAAAAATCCCCTAACTAACAACGACCACAAAACAATTAAAAAAACCTAAATAAAAGTTAAAATCGAGAAAATAGTATAAATCACACGTTGCAGAAGGCTATTCTCGCACTCATTCGTTCGTCCACTCGCTCCTTCGTCGCTCGAGGCCAAATTTCGAATTCGTGCGAGAATATGTGGCCTTCTGCAACTTGTACTTTAATATACTATTCTATGGTTTAAAGCAAATGTCACAAATGTCAAATAAATCTTGATGAAATTTTAATTGTTTTATGTCTAATTTAAAATGTCAATGTATAGAAATGGACTTTTTTGGGGAAAATATATACGTGGAAAAAAAATTACCCAATTTATTTTATAAAACATCCACTGTTATGCTCAATCAGTCGATATAAATAAATCAACGTTTCTGCAAACGAAAAATATCCACAAACAAAGCTAATTTTAACGACTTTAAGTGTAGCTTAATAAATAGGATCCTTAATGAAAGCTTTCACAAAAATTATATAAAATAATACACAATATCCAAATAATGAGCCTTATCTCAATTAATATAATGAATGCATTTTTATAAAATTTCCCTTTTTGCATTGTTTATTATATTAAAATTAAACAGTAAATTTACTATGGTAATAACAGTTCCTGCAAAATAGTATTTTTTTTGCAAAAAAATCCTATTAAAGTTATTTACATTTATTTAGCCTTAATAAATAAATTTAAAGATACTTTAGGCAATATTAGGCTTATTATGTTAAAAAGCAAATTAAACAGTAAATTTACCACTTATGCTAATGACAGTTTCTGCAAAATGTTCTCGTAAACCTCTTAAGAAACAGGTGATTTATAAAACGATTTATTTTGTCAGTCCCTGTAGCGCAGAGGATAGCGCGTTGGACTTCTAATCCAAAGGTCGTGGGTTCGATCCCCACCAGGGATGCACCGTGGCTAAATTTTTTAAATGTTGTTTTTGTTATCACTAAATAAATTTTACCCAAAATCTCATCTTTTAAAGATGAAACCTGAGTATACAGGGTGTCCTAAAAATGAAACATCATGGGAAATCAACGAGTTTTAATCCAACCTCTCTTAATTAGCCCTTTCTTCAAATACCCTAGCTGTATTTTTAATTGGTCGTTTTAAAATAAACTGTACATATAAACAATATACGACACGTATTTGGAAAACGTTTTTTTGAAAGAAAAGATGTACTAGAAATTAAAAACATATATATATGCCGTTGTTTTAAAGATTTTAGTTTTTTTCTTATAAATATATAAAAAGAATAGTTTGTTTGTTTAAACCTCAATTACGTGTACTTAAAAATAAGAATATTTGAAATTTAATATTAGTTTTATAAAAACATGCAAAAAACTATAATAATTGGACATTTTATATAGTTATTGGACATTCTTTCTCGAATTCCTTATCCCTTTTCTGGATTCTAAAGGTAACTACTAATTCCTTGGTCTGACATCTGAAATAGTTTGTTGCAAATATCATTAAGTGTGGTATCTCTAGTTTGTGAAGCATTTATAATGTTTAGGCCGGAACAGGATGATTTATATATATCTAATATTTTTTCGGGTGGTGTGTTAAAAGTATTTTCCGAATTTATTAATTTTGTTGCCATTCGTTTTTTATGTTCTCTATCATGCACTGCATTTAAATCACTGTTATTCTGCACGTGATGAAGAAATTACTATAGTACTTACTCTCTAAAAATGAATTAGTCAAAAATATCAGAGCGAAAAAGCAACAGCAATTTGTATCCAGGACATTTAGCAGTCAATTCCTATGAAATATTTGCTGAATCCAAAAATGTCGTCAAAAGTTATAAAAGTAGAACAGTTTTTGAAATATAATCAATTTTACATATATTGTGGAATTGTCTATATCTCAAAAACTGCTTAACTTTTGTAGTTTTTGACAGTCTTTTTGGATTCAGGGGACAATTTTACATAAGAATACAGTGACAATGTTTAAACCATGAGGAACACATTTATACCACACATTGATCTGTACACTTTTTATAAATATTTTTATTTAATATAAATAAAACAAAGAATTCCAAAAAAAAAATATTTTAAATGTTCTATATCTAAATAGAGTTTTGTTGAACATAGTGGATAAGAATTATATGTCGAAACAGCATAATACATATCTTTACTTATAATTATTAATAGATTCAAGATTAAAATATACGAAACAAGATATTTAATTAAAATCAAAAATAAACTAAAACATTTCTAAAACCTAAATAAATAAATTAGTGCTTGCAAAAAGCAGCGCAAAAAATAACGATCACTTTTCCTTTCTAAGTAACGGAATATTATCAATAAATCAATGAAAGTAACAAATACAACTTTTAAAAATTAACCACTCATCCAGATGGCATTTTACTTCGATTTTGCTTCAGTTTTGTAGTCTATCGCGACGGTTACAGATTTTGTATTTACAGATGTGTGTGAAATAATGTGACTCAATTTTGAGTTTTACTACTTCAACTAATGGTAAGTTAATTTGACATTTTGGATAATGTATTCATAAAATTATTAAAACAAAATAACACCTATAAATATGCTTTCTTTTTTAATGAACACTTTAAATACATATTTGGAAAATAAATTATAATAATTTTACAAAGTAATTTTTTTACAAATTTATTTAAATATTTCTACTTGTTTGTTTATGTCTTACATAATATTACGCAAATGAGCTCTCACGAACAAGGTTGTTATGAGATTCATTTAAATGAAAAGAAAATAAACGCACAGTATGTGATACTATTTAAATAACTTATAAAGCATTCCTTTTAAAAATTGTTTTAAAAAAATACCTAACATTTTTGTACGAGGTGTGTTCAGAAAATATTGGGAATTTTCGTTGTTTGAAACAAATATTTATTTATTCGTCTACATTAATCTAAAATAGTCCCCATTGGATATTATGCACATGTGCCAGCTCTTCTTCCAATACTCGAAACACTTCTAAAACTCGATCTTTGGGATAGCCTTTAGTTCTTTCAGCGATGCGCTTTTAATGTCATCTATGCTTGCAAAACGACGGCCCTTTAAGGTTCTTTTTATTTTTGGGAATAGGAAAATGTCAGACAGAGGCATGTCTGGCGAATATGGGGGCTGGGGCATCATTACAGTATTGATTTTGGACAAAAAATTTGTTCAAAATTTAACAATTTTAGAACTAATTTTGCTGCCACGCAAAACATTCGAAAAAATTTCATGGGATGAGCCAATCGATATACCAACATTATCAGCGACTTCTCTGATGGTTTATAACCATTTCTTCCACTTTTTCCATGTTTTTATCGGTTGTTAATGTGCTTGTGCGTTCGGGGCGTTCGTCATCTTCCACGTCTTCACGGCTATCTTGGAAACTCTTATACCACACGTATACATGGGGGGTGTCATTTTTAGATATACCACAAATTTACGTAAAAATAACGCTATAATTGCTCTCTCTTTCTGAAACATTGACATTCGTAATTTCTTTGTTCTTTTAATTTATATTTTACAAAGTACTT